CTTTCGCCATCGCCGGCAAACTGCTTTTATCTGTTTCATTTCTTTTCTTCCTTTCTGTTATGAGCAAATGTTTATTATAAGCTCGACTGCACGCAATGTTTTCTCTCTCTGGATATTGAGACAGGAGTGAGATAGTGACCTCACCTGACCTCTGCTGCTCTGGCACACGAAACATGGACACTTTTGTCTAGATACATTCGATATCTTTGCTATATGGAGGACTTGGTAAAACAGAAATATTTCTAAAGTGACATTCGTTATCAAACAGCATTTCATCCCATCTTGGATTGTTGTCAAGGTTTGAAGATTTTGAAGATTTTCTAAGTTCCCACAGTGGTGTTTGTAAACTCAAGGTCTGCCTCGTGAAATGTTTGTACAGACACAAGCATATACAAGTGTGACATTCGCCTACGTTTGCAAATAGAGGAGATCTACAAGTAATTCACTAAAGTTGGTGACAAATAAAATTATAATCATGTCATACAGATTTACTTAAAGTGCCCGTATTATGCTATTTTAAAGGTTCCTAATTTTGTTTTGGAGGTCTCCTACAATAGGTTTACATGCATCCAAGGTCTAAAAACACTATCATTTTCTCATAATATACATTGCACATCTAATTTCTCAAAGAGTCTTTCTCGGTTTGTTTGAAGATTCAGTCTCTCTAAACACCTTTCCGCTAGCAACTCTGCTCTGATTGGTCAGATGGCCCAGTCTATTGTGATTGGTCGAGCGCTTACAGTGTTTGTCGGAAACGAAACGCTCATACACAGAGACACGAATTATGGCGCCAGTTTTTCCGTATCAGTTCCAGAACAAGTCAAAATCCTTTTGAAGTGTATGAAAAGCTGATTTGCAGCACTGAACACAAACCGAACTCTTCCAGGCCCCAGGTACAGTTTGAGGGTGGGTCAAATTAGACGTCGTTCACGGGCATAATGAAGACCATAGGTAGGCATTATGCAAATCTGTTACAAAGTTACATAGGTATGTAACAGGAAGTGATCATTTCAGTATCATTTCAGCAGTTCAGAATCAAATATTTCTTTTAGGAGACAATAACTGTGTCACACACATTGATCTTTAAAACTTTGCAGAGCTTTTACATTCACAAACAGCTCTATTACCCTTGGGTAAAATAATCTGTAACGATTTTCTCATCGTCTTCAAAAACCCATTATTCATCTATTACATCCTGATTTGTTTTTGTAGCGCTACCCAGAAGATCACAAAATCTGTTGAAGCAAAAGATACATCTGTGTCTGACAGATCATCCCTCTAATGGCCCATTTGGGGACACAGGACAATTTTTTGTTCTGCTAAAAACAACATGCAAATGTGAAGCCTGATCTTGATCACATCATCTCTTTCCGTCTCTCTAACACACGCAGAAAGCTCAAAACTACACAAGTCGTTCAACCACACACTGCTGTTAGGATACATGCGGTCAAGAAAGGATAAGGACATATCAATATATACAAACACACTTGGGACAATAACACTGCAAAAAAAATCTGTATTTCTTTCCTACACCTGATTGTGTCCATTCCCTTTGCAGTAGATCTTTGTCAATGAATTCTTAATTTTTTCCAACTTTTCAACTAATGAATTCATGTAAATCAGGGGTCTTTACCATGGGTCCACAACCCACAGCAGTATGGCAGGTTTTTTTTTAAACAAAAGCACAATACTAAGTTAACTTTAATCAATGCTAAACTTATCAAGCTAAAGAAAATGCTTCATTGAATCTTCCACATTAAACTGTATCAAGTAAAATTAGGAAATGTTCACACATATGATGCATCAATCATCATTAACAATAACTGACTTTGAAAGTATCTTATGCTCACCAAAGCTGCTTTTATCAAAAATACAGTAAAATCATAATATTGTGAAATATAATAATAAAAAATAAAAAAATCAGCTTTAATTCATCCCAGTGATGGCAAAGCTGAATTTCCAGCAGTCATTACTTCAGTCTTTAGTGTCCTTTATCCTTCAGAAATCATTCTAATATGCTGATTTGGTGCTCAAGAAACACTTTTTATTATCAATGTTGAAAACAGTGCAACTTAATAACTTTATAGAAACCTTGATCGTTTGTCCAATGATTATTTGATGAATAGAAAGAACATTTGAAATTGAAATCTTTTTGTAACAATGTAAACATCTCTACTCTAAACAATTTAATGTCCTTTAGTAAGATTACTCTAAATAATCTTACTGACCCCAAACTTTTGAACGGTAGTGTATGTACTGTATTTGGTTCAATATGCATGTTATTATAGGTCTGGCTTAAAATGAAACACTCAGTTTTATAATATATGGAGGTCCCTGCTTCATTTCTCTATCAATTGAGTGGTCCTTTGCCTGGAAATGGTTGAAGAAGGGTTAAATCAGTGAATGTGACTTCAAGACATCTTGAATTGACACTGGAAGTGAAGTCACCATTGCCCGTGGACATCTAGCATAAAATTACAGCATAGTGAAGTGTTAAAGAAAACTTTCCAAGAGGACTGGATTACCAGATTCCCTTACCACGGGTTATAATGACAAAAGGATAAGTCATTCAAGCAAGTCCTTTATCTTGGGTCGTAAGAATAAACAATTCATCTTCAGTTTTACATTTGGCTCAACAGGGTCATAGCTGCCAGAACTTCCGAACTTCGCCATCGGTCCCGGGCCGTGAGGGAGGGAGACGGGCGCTGAGACCAGCAGTAGGAGGCAGGATTCATCATCCGGTTATAAGCTGGCACTGCTCGGTTCCTGAACCCCAACAAAAAGCCTGTCGCGCTCAAGTGAGCCCCAAAAGATTTGTTTTTGCCCGAATCGCTCAAAAATTGTGGGGAATCAACAGACCCAGAGGGCCACGGTGTCTCATCTGAGAGGATGAAGAAGCGGAAAAGGAAAATGTGTTTGTGGTGTGGTCACACTTCAGTAACGTTTTCCACACACAGACATAAATAGTGGTAGCAGGGGGCATCTCTCATTGCATGATGGGACAGTGATTGCACAATATTGGATAAGGCAGGTTTTGTGCCACAATGAAAAGGAAGGAAATGAGGGAGAAGAGTTGTGTGTGTGTGCCGTGTACTTCAAATGGTTCTAGGTCATATAAGGTCTAATCTAAGAGTCACTGACCACTTTCATATTTCATCAAGCATACGACAAAACAATTAGACTCAGAGTGACTTCATCTAAACACAGACAGACTGGTAAGAAAAAAGTATAAATACTTTAGTGAGTCAAAAGTATTTACAAAATGTATATATTCATGTACGTCACAACAAAAGCCCATTATCAGATTCTGTCACTGTTTTATAAACATTGATCAGAGCCATGGACATGAGGTTAGTGCACATCTGGATCAGTGTTATTATTGTTAACTAAAACTATTACAAATAATTTTCATTAATTGAAATAAATGTAAAATATAAATATTAGATGAAAAGCTTAAAAATGAGAAATGTTATCTTGGCAACTAACTCAAATAAGAAAATAAATTAAAAAAATACAAATAAGTTGAAAAGCTATTTATAAAACCACAAACTAAAACTAAGACGACAACTGAAAATATAAAAAATAAAAGCTATTATTAAATACTATAATGGTCTACTAAAATAACACAAGGCGCTCATGTGGAACACACAGGTTCCATGTTGTGACCATGTCACGTTGTTCCAACTGATGTGCACATGCAAAATAAAAGTACACAATCTCGATTTATTACATATTTGTTGGCATTTGCAGAATTTATTAGTATTGTAGTATTCATTAGTGGTTTAATATAACAATCTGTACAGTGCATCTCTCTCTATATGTTCTCTACAATCAGAGCTGTCTGCAAAGGCTGAATGTTCTCATGCACGCTCGCTCTCACACACCAATGCACATCCATTCCCTGGTCACACGTCCAAGGCCAGGTGCTGTGCGGAAAACACATGAATCAAATATTGGCATGTAAAAAAAATAAAATAAAAAAAGTCAAGGCACAGACAAGAAGAGCTGAATCCAGAAAACTGCTTACGGCGCTTGTTCTGTCCCTAAAACCGAAGAACTCCCTTTATAGTTTAATCATTTTGCATCTACTGTAAGGGACAGGCTTCAAACATACATCTTTTGTGCCAGTAGAAATTTAAAGGAAAGAAAAAGAAAACTCCCGTTAAACAAAAACAAACAAAACAATCCCTAAGTTCATTTTGAAGAGAGGATATAATATTGCACCCTCATTCCTATCAGGGAAAATATCAAAGTTATGGCAAGACGACACCGTTTAAATACAAAGAGCCATTTAATATTAGTTTTAATGTACAGCGGTGTACATAAACTCATGACCGTCTAAATGTGCTGACATTAGCCTGCTCTTGTATAATGTCTTTATCTCTAAGACATTAGGTTCCAGGCCTTACACATCTTCAGTCAGTTCTCGCATTTGCAATCAATGAATACAAGAAACTTAAGCCTCTGTTCTGCACATTGGAAGACCAATCAAAAACAATTTAACCTTAATCTGGTCATTTTTGTGACAATAGTAAACTAATTGTTTCCAAAGCTGCCACACAACTGTCATTCTTTAAGGTATTAAAATATAATCTACGTCTTGGCTGTAACAGACTAAAGCTGGAGTATTGTCTAGTATACAATTACTATGCATTAAATATTTAACAAGGGCAGTAACTGGATTCCCTGTATTGAGAACGCCCCAAAAAAAATTCCCTCATTATGATCTGCACTCACATGAACCCTTGACCCATCTGTGAGAATATTCATTTATCTTCTCACAGATATTAAAGGGATAGTTCACCCAAAATGAAAATTCTGTCATCAATCATTCACCATCATGCTGTTCCAAACCTGTGTGAAGATTGTTGGTAAACAAACAGTTTTGATTCCCATGGGGGGGGGGGGGGGGGGCGTACTGAGACATTTCTCAAAGTATCTTCTTTTGTGTTCCACAAAAGAAAGTAAGTCATACAGGTTTGTAACATAATAATGACTATCCCTTGACAAATTATGACAGCAATGTTCAAGCATAGTTAGTGTTTCAATTTCCTTTAACTTTGCAGCAATAAAAGTAATATCCACACTACAGTGCAACTGTAGTTGTCAAATTCAAAAATAAGATAAATAATACTTTAGATCTGTTGTAAAGGCAATTCAAATTGTGAGACAGGAAGTTAGTGTGACAAAAGAACAATACAAGATAATAAAACGCAACAAAAAACAGTTTTAAAGAACAAAATGTGATTTGGTGTCCTTAATGTGTTCAGTTAGTACACAGGAAGACATGGACACCATATCACACAGGCACGGGATGGTTTAGCAGGTGCACCTTTCAGAGAGGAGCATTAATATGTGTATGTGTCAGTCCAAGTGTCTTTGTGTTAAAAGAACAATATACCCAACTAATGGAGATGTGCAAGCGTAGTCTACACGCTCTGATGGTGGCAAATCATCAGGACGTGGGCCGTCTGCTGATGCGTTGGCTTTCTCAGGCTTGGTTGGTGGCGATGAGATTTTTCAGCTGTTTGACAACAGTGTCTATAAGCTTCTGCTTGTCCCGTTCGTTTTTACGGAACTGAGCGAACATGTTGTTCTTGCGGCTGGTGTCCTTCATCCTGCACACAATGAATGAAGCATATCAGATCATTAGATTACAAAAACAGAAAAAAGGAAGATTTTTTTCCACTTTGATAGTTTAGACTTTTATGTACTGTATCCTCAGTGTGAAATGCTCATAAATGAGAACAAAGGGAGGGCGAACAGAGAATGAAAAGTAGGATGGCTTCACTACAACATAACCTTTCCAAATTCGTCATTCATATGAAAACTAGCCAAGGAATATGATGAGACAGGGTGGCCACTTAAACTCAAATGTAATGTTGGTCACAGGGTGCTGTACCACTAAAGAGCTCAAGGAAGGACACAGACTTTAACTGAGACTACCATTGTGTGGTCAAGAAAGACATTCCAAATGGTGCTGCCATGCAGGAACCTTGGAGCAGACTTGCATGGAGGTTCTAATGATCCTGCTCACTTTCCTGCCGCTTGTGCCAAACGCTCATTCTCAGTAGCCTGGAGATCACTGAGCCAATGCATGCACATTCCTCTCATTCGCAACCAGCCAAACCGTGGCAGAGCTAGGCATCAGAGTTTGACAAAATACTGAAGTGACCCATCATCATTAAGTCATTAACAAAAAAAACACATTCTTTTATTCTGCATAGTCTGTAGTACTCGGCTTTTAAAGAAGGCATATCATGAAAAACAGGATTTTCCTTGCTCGTTTGATACTGAAAAAAAAGAAGCAAATCATCAATGAAAACAAAATGTACTGTAAACAGACATCATTACTGTTCAAAAGATTATTTTTATGCTTTTAAAAGTCTCTTATGCTAACCAAGGCTGCATTCATTTGATCAGTCAACTGTAATATTGTCCATTTAAAAAAGCTGTTCTCTATTTTAATACATTTTAAAATGTAATTTATTCCTGTGATGGCAAAGCTGAATTTTCAGCAGCCATTACTTCAGTCTTCAGTCACGATCCGATTCCAAAACGATTATTTTTATTTTTATTAATTAATTAATTAGTTTACCGACTTCTTTATTTCATTTAATTACATTTGTAATATTGTGAAAGAAAGAGTCACTCTGTTACAGAAGCAATTTCATGATCACCACCAGCCACAAATCCAATCGCTCTTTTTCTATCAACTCATCCTGCGAGTCTTATTCACTAAAAGTTATTAGGCAAGATAGCCATCACCACGGATACATGACTGTATTGCCATAGTGTGCATCACTGCTTTTTTGCAGAGAGCCGCCTCTGATTACCATGGTGATAAGAATCACCACCGCCTAGTGAGGAATGCTTGCTTTGTTGAGCATGAGAGTTTGTGACTCGCTTCTGGAGTTCAACAAACAAGTGAAGATGGAGGCGGACAGAGTATTAGAGTAGTGATTCTCAACTGGTTTTGCTTCAGGCTAGGATTTTACACTGGAGATTAGCTATCGACCTGGCCAAAAAGCAAAATAGTTTATTGTAAACTATAATTATTAAAACGACAGACTGCTCTCGGTTGCCGATAACTCATTGCACAAAACATTGTAGTCGGCACAAACCATGTTCATTCTAACTGCAACTGAACCTTTATTTTCTTCTACCTTGTGTAATTGTGCTCCATGTTTTTGAAGAACCATGTGGATAGCTGCTATGGAGAACTAGAACTTTTGAAATTGACATTCACAACAGCCTATTCATTTTCATATTTAAAAATGTAGTAAAAACTATTTAAATTGCAACATGCAACTTTTAAATTGCATTTTTATTAAGCATTTACAAAACCATATCCAGGTAGAAACCATATTTGTGTTGCTCTAAAGTTAAAGTCCTTTTTTTTTTTTAGCATTTTTCTGACCCCATCAGAACAGCCTGTAGCACATTTCTGGGTCATAACCAGTGCTCGAAGTGAGGGATTTGGGATTTGTGGTTTTTGATGTCACTTTGAATTATAGAATTGGCAAATTGCAGATTAAACATATGCCTATCTAGATAATTAACCTAATATAGGATTTGTCTATATTCTAAACTAATATTAATGAATGTGACAATATATTTAATGTTTTTTTTTTATTAGTTTAGCACAAATTAGTTTAGTGCATTTCTATATTATATTTTTCCTCTTCTGGATGTACAAAAATGGGACATTTAACCAGTACAATATATTGCCCATCCCTGCAATGAGGTGATACACAACCACATCACTGCTTCCCTGACTTCACTTCCTCAGTTCAGATGCTTCCTCCACTTACAAACAATCATGATTTTATTGGATGAGGTTTTTTAAACAAACTAAAACTCATATTCTTATATTTAATCTTCATTTCCCCTCTCTAAGTAACTAAAAAGCCTTTTCTTTTTAAGTACACTCCAATAAAGCAAAACTTTTCTCTTCAACAAACAGGTTGTGCTCTGATTCCACACAGAAACAGACACACACACAGACACAAACAGAGACACACACACACAATTCGTGCTTAGTAGTGTGCTTACTCTTGCCAGGCTAAATAATACAGATCACTTTCACTGAGAAAGAGGGGCAAGAGGGTAAAGCTGAGGTAAGTGCAGCTCAAATGGGATCAGGCGGATCCACTGCTGTTTTATATCACAGATACAAGAGGACAGACAGAGGAGGGAAGGAGAGAAGGAAAGAAACCGAGAGCGACAGAAGAAAGCTGAAGTGATCGAAGTCACAAGTCTAGCAAACATACACACACACACAACATTGAGGAATGCATACATTCTGCAAACATGTACTGAGTTTTAATAAAACACATGCAAACACTAACATTAACACTCACTCCTGTACATAACGTACAGCAAAATCATAAAGTGAACCAAACCCTGCAAACATACACTGATTACACACTGATCATGTAAGTGATTATAAAAAAACTTGTAAGTAATGTCCAGGTCGTATTTTACCCCAAAATTAAAAGAAACAAAACAAAACATATTTAATGTATTATCATTATTGTTATGTGTGTGGTTCAGGTATTCCCTACGTTATGGGGAAAATGCCCTCACAAAGATGGCAATATCTGAAGTCCTTATGGGCACATTTTTTGGTCCCCATGAGGAAAACCGCTTATACTAAGTGATGTTTTTTGAAAATCTTGGGTAAGTCATGGGTAGGTTTAGGGTTTGGGGATAGAATATACTGTACAGTTTATACAGTACAAATCATTGTGCCTATGCAATGTCCCCACAAAACACAAAAACCAATTTATTTTCTTTATGTAAAATATTGTTTCCTATTCTTATTTTGGGAGGTAAAATGTAACCTGGAAATTTCATGAAAATCACCAATGTAAGGGCACATCAACAAAATGCAGAATACTTACGATCGAGAAATCCTACTCATGAGTAACACATAAGATAATGAGAGGAAGAGAAAAAAACCTGTTTGCATCTGATCAGATGTCTTAAAGTAAGTGCATGTGGTTTGATGAGCGAGAGATGAGAGGAGAAAGAGATCAGTGTGAGACTCACTTCTCTAGGAGGGCCAGAGCCGTGTGAGGATTGACTCGCAGGTACTTGCAGGTGGGTCGGCCGTAGTCAGCCAGATACGTGGACCAGTCCCACTGAGTGAAGAGATCCAGTAACTAAAACCAGGATGGTGGTGGTGCGGGAAAGACGAGACAAAGAGAGATCATTAAAGTTCATTAAACACCATCACTGGCCCTTGTTAGATCAGGCCAGTTCACTTCTCCCAATGTTACATAAGTGAGCAGGGCTTCTTAAATGAGATTATAGAGGAGACACAGGGGAAAGCAACATGACAAAGCAGGGGATTAGAGGAGAATGGAGAGAGGTTAAAGAGAGAACAGCCATTTACACTCTTTCACCCTGAATGCAGGGCTCTTTCTGACCCGGACCTGACCTGATAATGGGCCGGTAATGACCCGCGATTGACCGGGCCAGCTACTGACCTTGCTGGAGCCTGGCCAAAAATGCACCCCTCAGCACTGGCTCAATAAACAACAGAGCACATTCCTCCCTCCCAAACAAACCCACTCGCACAAACACACACACACACATTTAGACGCAGATTCAGTGCTGGGAATGCACACAAACATGTCATCAAAACTTGCCAACAGAAAGAAAAAAAGCAAATGAATACACAACAACCTCTGTATTCAACCGTAAACACACATAAAGGACACATGAAACCCTATATGCCTATGTGTGCATAAGGAAAAAGCATCCAGGACAGCAAGAAATATCTTTAAGTATGTTAAATGCACTGTTATTGAGCCACAGCAGGTTTTTATGAAGTCGAGCAACAGTCTTAATCTGTCTTTCCAAGTAAGTATACAATGAATATTTATTAAATAAATGTCAGATGTGTGCACAAAGCTGAGGCCAAATGAAGTTTTGAATAAAGTGTATACATGCTGGATGAAGCCACGCTATAAATGCAATATCAAGTTCCGCTAAGGTGTCGAGCAAAATCTCAACGGCAAAAAAGGACCATTGTCTATTGTCAGAAGTGTAGCGGTATATAAAGCACAATTCATACGGAATTCTCTTTCAAACCAAACAACTTTCAGTTGGGTCAATCTGCGTGACCAACTTGAACCCATAGCGCAATCTGCATGGAGAATTCACGATTGTGTGGATTACAAATGACTGAATTTCGCCGGCAAAAATTCGGTGAACAACAGTAAATGTGACCGCAGCTTTATTTCGACTTTTCAACAACAAAAAAAGAAGAAAAGAAAAGACCGGCAGTCAGACTAAACCATTTACATGAGCAAGTATTGTTTTAGTCCAACTGGAATCAAAATTTTAATAAACAACAAATTCAACCGCCTGTATTTTCAAACAAAACTTCTCATGAAACAATGCCCACACACACACACACCCTGTGCGATGGCAGATAAGCACCTGTGTGAGATAAGTGATTTTTGGATTTGCATTCATATCTTATCTTGTTTTTTCCTTTCTCTTCTCTTCTTCCCGCTAGCATGGTCTATACAGACCCACCAAGGGAGGAAGGCTGAGGAGAAGAGAGAGGGAAATAGAGGCCAGGTTTTGCCGCTGTCATTTGTAATCTGAATGCACTTGCATTCCACATAGCGCTAGCTAGTGTGTCAAACTCGTCCATGACCTGGGTTTCACCTTTCCGCTCTGCCTCTCCGCTCTGCCTTCACCTCCCAATGAACTTCCACTCGGTCTCTCTCTTTGACCTCTGCGTGACCCCCGACAGTGTTATCGGCCCCTGTCTGAACAAACAGAGGGCCACGCTAGAGAGGAGCTGGGGCATGGGGGCGTGCGGGCGCTGGATTATCACTTCCTCTCATTCTTCTAAAAGAAAGAATGATGGAGAGAAAGGGAGCGAAAAAAGAAAACATGACGTTGCACATTGATGTGTTGCTCTCGTTTCCCCTCACAGCCTCAGCGTCACCCCTCGTTCACACTATCTCTCTCCTCTCTGGGCCGTTTGGATAAGGGCTTATAACAGTTATTCCGACCGTCGTACTTGTTTGTTTGGAACGCAGCAGGAATAACTATTCTCGTTAATAGCCTGGGGGTGTTGGGAATTGACTGCCGTGTTTTTCTTTTCTCCCCTTAGACTTGTTGCACTTTCTGGCAGTGTTCTGGAAAAACAAGGTTTGATTTGCCACTTTACCCGTGCAATAAATCAAAAAATGCTCTGGTGGGGAGTTTTGTTATGTAATGATCTAGTTACCTATGCCCTAGTAACCTAGTAGCCATCTACAAACGGCTTGTGAATTACCAGCCTATAGAATATAATTATTCATTATGACTTCATGAAGTCGATGCGAATGAGCTGCTATGTAAAACTAAGATGAAAGGATAACGTTCTTAACCTCCAAGTCGGTTAGTTTTGTGTTCTCTAGTCACTAATGCTGAATTGTTTTTTTTTTTCCTCTTTGTGCCATCACTGCCACTATTAGTTCATCCATGCCTTCTCCTCGCACTCCTTTTCTCGTTAGTTCTCCTCTCACCTCTGGCTGCCCTCTGGCTCTCAGTGTTGTTTAGTGCATTCTGGAACTGGCCGTCAGCCCCAGAGGCTCATGCAGGCCAAAGTCAGTTGAGCTTAAGCCTGAATAATGATAACATTGATGATAACCAGCATAGAAAAGAGAGATCAGCCTAGTAAAGAAAGAAATAACAACAACCCCACTTTGCTAAAACAAACTAGTAGGGAGGAAGAGAGAAAAAGAGGCCAAAGTATCTATAGTTAAATATACAGATTGCCTGACCTATATTCAAAAATGCCTATGCAGTTATCTGGTAGAGTACAGCTTCGAGCTGCATGTTAATAAAAATGTCTTCTAAACATGGGATGAATCACAATGGGCTGGTATGCGAGTTGTGATTTGAACCGCAGCAAATAAGGCTCAAGTGACCGTCATAAATGTGAACGACGAGCAAATCCGATACAGATACAGCAGCAGTAAAACTCCTCTGGGAGCAAATATGAACATGAGAGATCCAGAACACCTTTAAGCGCTCAGTGTTTTCTATGATGTAGTCAGTAAGATGAAGATGAACAAAAGTCTTATGGGTTTGGAATGACATGAGAGTGAGTACATAATGACAATTTTCAATTTTGGGTAAAGTAAAAAGTGATAAATTAAACATTCAAAAAGTTTGGATCAGAGCAGATTGTTTGGGTCTATGGTTAATAAAAATACTGGTGGAAAATCAGATGGTGGGCTGCTAACTTCATGGAATGACTAACGATTATGATCCCTAATCATCCTGTCCACCCCTAATCAATCAAGCGGGTGGTTTTGAACTCAACCCTTAAGGTGCCAAGTTAACATGCATTCTGATCCTCATATTACCATCACCACTTATGATTATTTCTAGAAGTTTCTGTGAGAAATCTGTTAACGTTAATGAGAAAAGTCAGGTCTTATCTTGACATTAACCTGCACATGTAACCGACAGAGAGGTCTGAATCAAAAACACTTAGCTCAGCTATCCATGGCTCTGGATCATGTGAATGTAGAGAGAAGAGCGGAAAGAAAAAAAGGGAAGGAGGAGCAACTAAAACATCATTCAACATCAGTCAAAGTCCAGTGGGAGGAAAATGATAAGCAGTATCGGAGTACTGAAAAAAGGAAAAGTGGCTCCCTGTTTCTCAAGCCATATTTCAGTCCACATAGCAGTAGCACTCAAGGTCAGAGGTTATCCATAGAGGTTATCCTGGCTTAGACTCCATCTACACTAAAGTGTCCAGCAAACAGTAAGCATGAGACACTCAAACACAAATCTCAGTGTATGCAAACAAACATGCTCTTAACTTCAGGGAAACGTCATGTCAATCAGAATAGATTAACAACGTTGAACGTATGCTTTCTCTGTCTGTGAAAAAAAAAAAACTTTAAAATGACAAAGTCCTAGAGGCACCAGTGCTGGGAATGACAGCAACTGTCAATCAAAACGAGAGAAGGTGGAGAAGAGGAATAAGAGACAAGAAAGACAAAAAGAAAATAAATGGGTCCATAATGGAAAAAAGATGATGTGGAGGGGGAAGAGAAATATGATGGAGAGGGAAAGGAAGAGGAGGCAGCAGAGGGAGAGCAAGAGAAGAAGAGACTCCCTCTTCTTCTCCTGCTCTCCCTTTGCTGCCTCAGATTGTTGTGCAGGTCTCAAACGAGTCAAAACGAGGGAATCAAAATAAAGGAAGGAAAAACATGTTCAGCACTTTACAATAACTCATCTTTAGTTAATACAGGTATATAGCTAACAATGACAGAAAACACTTTTATAGCATTTATTAACCTAGGCCAATATTAAAGTTGCAATGTAACAGAAGTAGCAACAGATCTTTTCTTCCTTTTGTGACGTTCACCCAAGTTATCGAAAAGAAGAAAGAACAGGGTGGGGACTGTTGTATGTGAATTGAACTTTCAGTTGACTGTAAGAAAGGGGTGGGGTATGAGCTGACTAAATGATCGGATTAGTCAAGCATGTCACCAGAGAGAAGTTTGTTGTTTGACTGGAAGATCCAGTTTGGATTAAAAATAACTAGGTATTAGTCATTGTAATTTTATATCTAATGCATTAACTAATGATAACAAATGAATAAGAATCAGAATGAGCTTAATTGCCAAGTATGTACCTTTCAGTACACATGAGGAATTTGTCTTGGTGACAGAAGCTTCCACAGCACAGACAAAATGACAGCGACAAGACTAAGATAATACAAATATAAAAATACACAATATACAAAATCAACAAACAATATATGTGTATGTACAGTGAACAATAGACAGTATGAAATCTTAAGTGTTACAGAGACATGCAAGTAACAATCCTAACACAATTCTGAAGGAATAAATCAATCAAAAATAGTTTTGACGGAGAATAAATGATGACAGAATTTTTCATTTCTGGATGAACTATCATTATGAAATTTTGCTGCTATATGATCATGTTAACAAAATAAAATGGCAGGGACATAAGTCTTTAAACAGAGTGTACCAAAAAGAGGCAGTAATGACCTGTACCCATCAGAGTACTCCAGAGTGAGTCGGACATAGTGATGCTCATTCAAATAGAATTCACCCTGCACTGAACTCTGAAGAGAGTAAAATCAGAGTGAGTGTAAAAATGAACAATG